TCCCTGTCCCCCAGGTATGCCAGGTACTACAGGCGGGAGAACGGCACTGAGTACCGGACCCTGATGAAGGCTTTTGGCATCCGTTTCGACGTGCTGGTCTACGGGAACGTACGTGTGGCCAGGCAGCCAGCAGGGTGGGGGAGCCAGCGCTGAAGCCTGAGGATGGGAAGGGAAGGGCCGTGGGGTGCAGGAGGAGTTGGCCGGGTGCGGTAATGCAAGGAGATGCGGTACCCCCTGGTGGCCATCTTTAATAAAGGAGGACAGGAGCCCCCAAGACTCAGGTGACCAGGAGATGGGAGGTTCCTGCACTAGGAAGGCAGGATAAGGGACCCACCAAAAGCAAGGGGAGGGGGGAAATGCAGAGCAGGTTACAACCGCCCTGTACAGCCCCACATGGTGTCCTAGGAGCAAACCTCCAACCCCCCAACTGCTAACTCCACTCTCTGTCCCCTCAGGCTGGGAAATTCAACATAATCCCAACCCTGATCAACACGGTGGCAGCCTTCACCTCCGTTGGGGTGGTGAGTGCAACTGTGTCTCCTGCTCCCCCGGGGCCAGGGTCAGCCAGCTCTGGGCTGCGGGGAAGAGGGAGGCCCTGGATAGAGCAAAGAATTGCCCATCTGGGCAGGCCTTCTGGCTGCTTCACGGGGAGCCCTGATCCAAGGTCAAATCCAGGCTCGCTGGGGACTGCAGGGCCAAAGAGAATCCAAGGCACGGGGTGAGATCCCCACGGTGGCACAGAGGGAATCCAGGATGGCGCCATGGCGATGGCACAGGAGGTGGTCCAGTCTCCACCCGGCAGCTGTGCTCCGTGGAGGCCTGTGTCCCCGGTAGGCCCCAGCACCCTGGACTCTGAATCTGCCAGCTTAGGCACCTACCCTCGGCCATGCTCTGACGGCAAAGGGCCGGGCTGGCTCATCAGGGTTTGCCTCCAACTCCTGCTCCCAGAGGCCTGCAGGTCCTGCCCTGCAGCCTTTGGCCCCCGTCAGGCCCAGGTGCCTGGGGACAGCCCCCCACCCAGAAGGGAAGGCCCTGCCCTCTGCTGAGCCTGCCTCCCCTCTGCAGGGCACTGTGCTGTGCGACATCATCCTCCTCAACTTCCTCAAGGGCGCAGAGCAGTACAAGGCGAAGAAGTTCGAAGAGGTGAGTCCCGGACTGGAGCCGCCCCAGGGGCTGCAGAGGCTG